AGATTTGTAGGTCTGTGTATATGTATATATATATATATACTATGATGCCCCGTGCGCAGTTTTTGTTACATGTACAGCTGTGAGATATGTTCAGATGCAAACACCTGTGAACACCTGCTTTTAAAGAACCATAACCATCAACATCAATTGGGCAGTGTTTAACATCCTCAGCCCTCTATACTGGGTACTTAGTACTGTAGGATTTCCCTAGATTATGATCATCTCTGGATAGGTAGGTATACGGTATACCCCTTTGAATCTTGGATGTGCGTCAAAAAAAAAAGGATCTATTGTGGATTCGGCCGAAAACAAAAAGTTATAAATATCAATCAGTTGTGGGTCTAGTGCCATAACCATCCATTACCCAGGGTATATCTAGTGCCCTAGGTATCCTAGATGTACCTAGTGAGGCCCGGATGGTTCTTCCCTCCGACTTGGAAGCCAGCTCTTTGTCTGGTGGCACCTTGGAAAGGTGCACCAAGTCGCATCAACATATGGCGAATGGTTTATATAATATATTAGTAAAAATCGTAGTATACATATATGTACATTGCTTGATTTTAATCAATAATGTATATATATATACATATATATTTTATAATTATAGTTATATTGTATTATATAATTAAATGAACCGTAGAATGATACACTGGCCACGACAATGGGGCTCCCCACACCGCACAGCAGCTCCGGTGTTGAACCAGACTCCTTGCTTCAACACGTCTTTAAAAGTGATGATACTCGCTAAACAGTACGTTGAAAGTACTCAAATGGAGAAGATGTTTCAAAAATACAGCTATCAGCGTCTTGAAAGCCAGCATGAGAACCATATTCATCCATATTCCAAATATACTCACACATAGACAATCTCACATATCATATTCCACTGAAGGATAGAGCAAAAGACTTTTCTTTACGCCGTCCTAGCGGCTGCTGGTCGAACAAACCAAGGATACTGAGACCTCAGGGATGCTCAGCGATAGCGAAAACCTGGAAATGATGTGACGAAAAGCTGCAAAACTCAACGCATTCGCATCCCCGACTCTCCACATCTGCTCGGATCCAACCTTAGGTCGAAGATTCTGGAACTGATGCAACATGTTTTTGTCAAAATGCTTTGAGCACATCTGTCTGTGTGGGCCACTACACTGGTCTGGCCAGGAAAAAAAAACCGTACTTCTTGGAAGGACGACTTTGAAACTGTCATTGAACCATGGTAAACCATGGTAAACCATAAGGTAAACCATGGTAAACCATATGGTAAACCATGGTAAACCATATGGTAAACCATGGTAAACCTTATTTTCAGGCACCCCCATGTTGGTCAAACGGTCAATGGCAATTGCTTTCACTGTTCTATTTACAGCGTGCGTATTGCATAGCCTTGCTTCCAAAATGATCTCCTGAAATCTTAGTGGCCGTCGTTCCCCCCCGTTGATCTTGAGGTGTCTCTAGCAAAACATAATAATGTCTCTAGCAGAACACAAAATGAGGTTTGCAAAAAAACATGCATACTTTTGTGATACCAATGTGTCCACACTGAGGCACCGAACTCTGCAGGCAAGGTCAGACCATGTCAGACCATCGGACCCTTTTCCACTTGATAGAGGGCGCGGCAAGAAAAATGAAATCCAAAATTGAAATTTCAGACGGGTCGTCCCCCCATTGATTTCATTTTTAAACCCGTGCCCATCTTTATACATATTTTGACTCACATCCTTTCTGAGAACTTTCGGGCAGGGAAGAGGAGGAGAGGACAACTCCTAGCGACCGATGAAATCAGCGCTGATTACATTCCGATGTGATTAACAAACCCCGCCTTCAGGTCCAAACATTCCAGGTCCAAACCTGGCGAAGACTAAGCGTGCAGCCATTTGAGTTGTCTCACTTGTGACAATTTTTCATTCCAGGTGAGCGCAATGCCATTCTTCAACTTGTTTTTTTACATTCTTCAACTCGCAGCCGCAGTGTCCAACGGACCAATATGCTGATCAAAAAGCCAGCTCTGGATCCATCAGAAATTGAATATTCAAGGTCCAAGTCAGCTCTGGACTGGACTCATCAGAAATTGGATGTCACCAACTGCGACATCAATCATTGGGCTGGCAGGGCCTTCAGAACTGTTGAAACCTTCGGCCCTTGAGCTTCTGCAACTTCTCGACAAATTTGGCCCTCAGGTCCCGCAGTGCTGCCAGATTGATGACTTCTGGACAGCCTTCTTCTTCGTACCATGGACTTCGCTGCAGGTCTGACAAGACATTGGTGGTTGCCACGGCATGCTGGTAGAGTTCTGCATTGTCACCTTTACTCAGCGAGTAAAAAAGGCTTCCATCAGTCGGTGCCTGGTGTCTTTGCTGAAGTCACTGCCGGTGCACTTGTAGAACTCAGGGGCTATCAGCGGCATGGACCGTGCTGCGCACTCCACGCCCCACCTGTCAGACCCGGGTGGGGCAGCTTCTGAGTGAAACAGAAGGTGCTGCTGGTTGCGCTGACCCTTGAAATACCCGAAGGTACTATAATGTAACATTCATGGCATCTGGGTTGCTATTCATGGCATCTGGGTTGCAAAATTAACTACATTGGCTGCTGGCAGGAACAGTACTTGGCAGGAACAGAACTTCTCAAGTTGGTGGCAGGGCACTGCTACTTGGCAGCAACAAGGCTTGGCTCAAGTTGGTGGCAGGAACAGTACTTGGCAGGAACAGAACTTCTCAAGTTGGTGGCAGGGCACTGCTACTTGGCAGCAACAGGACTTGGCTCAAGTTGGTGGCAGGCACAGTACTTGGCAGGAACTTGACTTGGCTCATGTTGGTGGCAGGCACAATACTCTGTTGGTGAAAGGCTACACAGCTGGGTTCAAGTAAGGAGCCTTTTTTGTTTTAGAAAAAACTTCAGTTGCATTTTGCAGTTTTGAAATTTACAACTTTTCACAACAAATCTATCATAAGATTTTTTCCTGTCAATCTATCTATCAGCTTCAGAGTTTCACAATCAAAGAATCAATGTCAAAATCAAGGTCAAAATCAATGCACAATCAACTATGTCAAAATCATAAAAATGTCAAAACCAATGCACAATCAACATATCAAAATCATAAGTCAAACCCAAACTAGACCTCTACAGTCCCATCCCCAGACTTAGAATTAATATAGGTTTTCTATCCGAACATTGCAGAAAAAAACATATATATATATTATATAATATATATATATATATTATATATATATAAAAAAAAGAGTTTGGGTTTGACTTAGCTCATTTCAAACACAAAGGTGTAGATTTTGAATCGAAACTTCTTTGTTTGTTTTCATGTTTGTTTGTTTTCATGTTCTGTGTTTGACCGTTGCTGTGCACAAGAAGCGCGGGGCTCAGGAACATAAAAACTGTGTGATTTTGTTGTGTTTTATCTTCAGAACTGTGGTATACTGTTTTGTTTTATTTGTTGCATGACGTTTTATTTGTTGCATGTGCGGCCAAGGTTGCGGAATGCTGTGGCTCAGGAGTAGTTATCGATCCTTTCAGTTTTTTTTGTTGCAGTGATTTGCTCAACCTGTAGGGATGTCAGACTGCATTCTGTTGTCAGGATGTGGACGTGGTGGCTCGGGGCTCAAACTCTAACTTCGAATTTCATTCAGATTCACCTCAAACTCAGGTCAAATTCAACTTCAATTCAGACTCAATTCAAGTCACAATCATTTCAAATTCAAATTCATTTCAAATTCACTTCACAATCATTTCAAATTCAATTCAGATTTCAAATCACATTCACTTCAAATTCAATTCTTATTCAATTGTGTGTCAAAAGACTCCCAGTTCAGAATCAACTTCATTTCAAGTTTACTGTGCACCCAAGGTCAGAACCTGTTGGCTGGCGAATGCGCTCTACTTTCTCAAGGCCAGATTGGGGTCTTGTTTCATCTTAGCAATTTCACGCATGTTCAGATTTGGTATTATTTCAGATTCATCTGCAGGCGATGAGGCTCAATTTTTGGATGTCGCAATGTTTCAAGTTTTCTACTTTGGATGTTGGCATGTTTCAAGTTGCCTCACTCTACTTTCAACCCTATTTCGCACAAAACATCACAGGAACAGACATGCATTAATATTCAATTTGACTAATCTATATTCTACTTTTTCCATCTTTTTTCATCTGACGAATGAGCCATGTTCACAGCATTGCTCTGACCCTGCTGCCGAGCCATCTGCATTCCTTGGCTTTGGTCTTCAACCGCCGTGGCCAGTAGACTTTGTATCTTTTGTGGCTGTGCTGCAGTTAATTGCTTGCCTTTCTGTTGCAGTTTTATTTTCAATGTCATTTTGAACACAAGTGTGGGCCCAGGTGGAAATTGGATCCAGACCTTACTTCGAAGTTGTGGCTTTCTGACATTGAGGAATTGTTTATCATTTCTTACTTCTTTTTTTTCCATAGTAGGTAGCCCAAAATGATTTTCATTCATATCTTTGGAGAATGCCCTGTGAAGCTGAGGAAATCTGAACTCGATACTGGCCGCATCCATGATCCCAATGGATGGATCCACTGGAAGTATTGCAGCGTGGCCAAAGAAGGTTTCTCTGCTGGTGTTCGGCCTGAAGCCGCGAAGGGAGAAGGTGGCAGACACTTGGCGAGTGTTTCATTTTCTTGGTGTAAACTTTTGGGAGATGATTGGATTGGTTGTTTTTTTTTCCAATTAAACTTGTAGATGGGATTGAACTGATTTCAAGCATTGTTCTGAGGTCAAGTGCACTCTGCCAAGCGGCAGCGTACTGGCTGACCCGGAGGAGATTGTTTTGGAGCTCCCGGGCTTCAGGGTGCAAAACCACAATCTGCAGTGGTTGCTGAAGTGCCTTGGAATGATTTTGTTACAATGTTTCTGTGTCCCAAGAAGCCCCAAGAAATTGAGTGTGAACTAGATTTTGATGTTGCTTTTGATTATGATTGTGATGTGATTTTGCCTGTCTGCAGGAGTTCTCAGTATGATGAAGCTGCCGACAGGAACTTGATGCGGAACCCTGGTCTTCACAAGGATGTATCATGGGGAGTCCCTCAGGATGGCATTTTGGATTTTTTTGGAATTCAGTGGTTTCTTCCCTGCCCCTTAAAATTGATTGGCCATTGAACAAAAACCCATGGAATACTGAGGTTCTCAGGCACGAGATGCTGCCACGTGTCCTGCTCTACATTCTGTCTCAGCCGTGTGATCTGGTGCTTCTCAATTGCTCAGCTGGCTTCCATCGAGCCCCATGCATCGCCGCACTGCTGTTTGCAATTTTAGTTGCATCTCATCTTAATTTCATGTCGGGTGTATGTGTTGTTCTTTGGGTTAGGGGTCAATTTGGGAATTTTTTTTTCAACTCCTTCGATGCGGTTTAAGGCAAGTGATGTGGAAGTTGTCGTCATGATTACCAGCCTGAGCAGATCGTGGAACACGGACTTGAGAACTTTGTATGCGTACTTGCAAGGTTCAGTGGACCAGTTCCTGGCATGGCATTATCACCGACTTTTCTTTTCTCCGGAAGCTTTCTATTTGTCACAAGTGATTTTTTTTGTCATGGGTTGGGTGTCAAAAGCAACTGTAGCTGAGGCCTACTGCCATGTCATCCATCATGCAAAACAATTGGTTTTGCAAGTCCAAGGAGCAGTTCACACGGATTGCTAGTGCGATTCACGCTGACTTCAGTAAGGTTTGCCCTCAGGCTGCTTCGTGGAAGCTTGGACCGTGCCAAATGCATCTGTTTTTTTTCCAAGCTAGTTTCTACATGTCACAAAATCCCACAGACTTCCCTTTTAATCATGTAAAATAGCAGTTTCACCAGAACCTTTCACCCAGGAAAGTGAGGATCTTTGAAGAACCTGATGCTGCTGATGGTGTTCCGGATGGTGTTCTTCCTGATGGTGTTCCTGCTGTGGATGGCACTGCTGTGGATGGCTCTACAGCCTCATCATCTGCACCACCACCACCACCACCACCACCACCGCCTCCAGGGCCCATGCCACCGAATCATCCTCCTCCACAATCTGATGCAGTCATGCCACTGGGACAAGATTTTTTTATTGTTTAAAGGATAACCCTTCTTTGCAGGCCTTTGTGTCTTTACTGCTTCATCAAACGAGGTTGGAACTGATGACCGATGCTGGCATTGCAGACAATGTGCAAAAGATGATTTTGAACCTCAAGCCTCTGCATCAGCACTGTATGATGATCCTTTTGCTTTACTTGATTTTGTTTAGCAGCACCTTTTTTGGAACATGTTTTTATTGGATGGTGATGGAACATATCCCATTTTGGTGTATTTGATGCCAGTCCCTCTGAGGAGGCATGTGCTGCATTACCTGTGGGCCCCTCACGAGTTCACGAGACTCATGGCTTGCCAAATAACATAGTTTTGACTTGTTTCCAGCAAATGTTTGGGTGGATCTTCAATATGTTTTTTTGATTTGAAAGGGTTTTCGAACTCAGGTATCGATGGGTTCTTGATCCGCTGCATGAACAAGTTAGGGTGACTTTGCCGAATATATGGCATTCCGACCTCGGCTGCAGTGGAAAAAAGAAATCAATTCACAATCATTCAATCATCAGATTCAGTCGACTCAGGGGTCGAAGAAATTCACAATCATGGGTCGAAGATTCAGTCGACCCAGCAGATTCAGCAAATTCAGCAAATTCAGCAGATTCAGCAGAAGAATCAATTTCAGAGTTATCATCTATTCTTGGAATGCCTTCAGGCGGGTCTTCGACTTCAGGTGCACTCAGGCTGGGGTTTTAATTCTACTTGTCTTATACTTAGAATTTTTAATTCAAAATCATTCACATCCAAAATCAACAAGATTTCCATTGAAACGATGATGTTGCAAAGTCACTCACAATCAGAAACACTGACACATATTCACTGGCACCTGTTTTTGTACCTTCATGTTTCAAAGGTAGTCATAATAATGTTTCTGTTTCACTTGGTTGGGCGCCCTGCAGGCTATCAACTTTATCGCATGACCAGTTCAGGACCGGATCCAATGATGAAAACACTCATGTCAGACTCACACACATGTTTTGTGGGTTGTCAAAATCAGCACATTGCCAAAAGACTTGATCTGCCATAATCACAGCCATTCACATTCAAAAGCGCTCCGTGTCAATGAGTCATCATCATGACCAAGGGGGCTGCAAATCCATTGGAACGGTCACTTGTTTTTTTTTAGGATGGGTTGTTGCTGGATTCAATATTAATATCTCTTTCAAGCTGACCATTTTGAGTGAGCTGATCATTTTGATTGATCTAAGGTTACTGAACTCCAAGCCACCCAGAAAGGCGAAGAAGGTCAAGAAACCAGCTTTGAAAAGGCCTGCAAGGGCTTCTAGGAAGGGACCTGCTGCAGCAAGTCGTCAAATTCCTGTGCCCAGGCCTCAGATTCCTTCAATCAAGTGTCGAAATCATTTCTTCTGCATCGTGGGTGATGGTTCAACTTCTGCTGGCCCAGGCTGAGTGAATGGCCATCACCGAAAACTGTGGAGGACTTGATGACACTAGACAGAATGACAGATGTGGTTGGTTCATGCTCTGTGCAATCAATATTAAACTGAATTGTAAGGAAGTGGGCGCTCTTTGTCTTGCAGCGCATGGCTGACTTGTTGGGGCTAGAATTGGTGCAAAGCCGATTGCGTCGCAAGATCAGAATTTTTTCGATTTTCTCAGGCATAGATTGTCAGAAGTTTGCTTGGCAATTTTTGTCAGCGGCCTGTATGCAGCTGTGGCAATTTGAGCCTGGGGTGACCTTTGAATTTTCAGTCCTTCGGCTTAGCCATTGGCAAAAACATGATACATCTTTTGTTTAAAACCGATGCTGTTGTGTTACCGTTTTGTTTTTGAGTATCAGGTTGAAAAGGAAAAAGTGAAGCAAGAGATGCTGGGAAAATGGCTTGGGCACGATTCATCTTGTCTTTTTGGTGACATCACAAAGATGTGTGAGAATGAGCTTCGCGACGACATTTTGCTGGACCCCAAGAAGGTTAAGTGGAAGACCACTTCCTGGTGCCGCACCCATGGGAAAGAGTGTTGCATCAACCTTCCACACACTGGTGCTGACACTGAGTCAATGGGTGTCCTCGGGTCACCGTGTCAATTGTTTTCGAAGCCCCTGGCCTGAATAGGAAAGCAAGTTGTAGCTGTCTCAGATTGCAATTGCGTGATTTCATGAGTGTTTTTTGCTTACTGTAACTTTTAAAGCTGAGGATGGGGCTCAGGGAGGGGTTCAAGAACATCAAGCGAGCACAAGTGCATTCACTTGGCACCAAAGCAATGATGGCTTGTTCAATGAATGTCCATGAGAACGTCGTTGGTTTTGACGAGGCTTGCAAAGCTGGCTTTTTGTGTCTTTGTTTTGGCATCACAAATTAACAGACCATGACTCTTCGAACAGGGGCAATTGAAGAGTAGCGGCCAGAAGATCGAGAAAGCCAGGCCAACGCCTCAAGTATGTTGATGCTACTTCATTGTGAGCAAACTGACTTTGCTTGATTCTGATGGAAAGTGCTCTGAGGCTGACTCCTCAGATGTTTGCCTTCCCTTGTAGGCGTGACCGTGACTACCGTATTACTTGGGACCCGAAGCGTATGGCTTGGTCATTGGCGACTTGATGCAAAGCATTTCTTGAAGTGAAGCAGCCTTTGGTTTCAGAATGCTTCAAAGTGCTGAAAACCGAAATATCATCGTGTCAAGCTTAGGATTTTTCCTTTGAGCAAATTGCAAAGTTCGTGCTGCTTCCCCCGAACAGCCAGCGTGATGTCAAAGCTGTTGACCTGTTGGTCACTCCAGAGTCTGACCCTGCAGTGGTCAAAGAAGATCAGTTGTCAAGGACGACAGATTGTCATCTTTAGATATGTATCTGTGAGATCTAGTGAGATTCATGATTCATGTGCCGGTCCCTCTGTGCAGGACACAAAGGATGCACCTGGATCGTTACCGGAAGTTGTGTGAGGACAAACGCTTCTACTCTTTGACACAAAACCCATTGGTGATGAAACGAACCGAAGATAAAAACTCTAACCTGCTGACCCTCACCACATCGATGGACCTCTGGCACCTCTGTTGCATTTATTGCTAAGCCATGTTTTTTTTGGTCAATCAACTTGTTCAGAATCCATTGGAGCAGAACAAAGGTCAGAGGACAAGAAGCGGTTGGTGACGCCTCAAGAGCTGTTTCTGTCCCTGGGCCTTCCGAGCTTTGGCCCGGTCTGTGGCAAGGTTGCCCAAAACTGAGCTTGTCATATGGGATTGTTGTCTAATGACTGAGCGCTAGATGACTGTCAGAATTTCATGAGTGAGTGAGTTTCCAAGGCCCCGATGAACCTTGAGGGGTTTACTTCAAGCAGCTTGGAACATGCAGCCGGAAATGGCATGACAGTGCCATGTGTACGTTTTGCGATGCTGACAGCTGTACTCGCTTTAGAGAAGAAAATCTAATGGCCAAAGGCCAAAGGATGTCAAAAAAACAGTTGCTGCTGCCCTGCGGAAAAAATACAGTTTCGATGCAAAGATGCAATCAAGTCACAGCAAGCTCAGTTGGAAAGTATATCACATACTCAAAATCAAATCACAGCAAACTCAGTTGAAAAGTATATCACATACTCAGAATCAATCAGTCAAATTCGCTTGGTAAAAGTATGCTAGCTAAGAGCTACTTCAAACTCCTTGATTCAGTTCCAGATCCATTGGCACTCTATCTGATGCTGGCTCAAGCTTGGCCACATGCCCCCGTTCCAAAATGAAGGCCCTGAGAAAGGAGGGTCAGTGAGGAAGTTAGTAAACCTGCCGGCGCCCAAGCCTTTTGGATGGGAAGGAGAGGAGAAAGAGAAAAGACATGTTGGTCAGAAGAAAAGGAAAGCAACACGTCCCTTTCAAAGTGAAGAGTCAGAGTCTGAAGATGCCTCAGTTACTTCTGAAAGAAGTGACAACCAGGATCCTGTATTTAGTCTCGGTTGGCAAAATCTACATTCATTCGTTCAATCGACAGCTTGGAGTCGTCATGTGAAAGCACAAGAAGAAGAAGAGAAACAGAAAAAGAAGAGAGCATATAACAACAAAAAACGTGCAGCAGCTGCTCTGGCATCCGGAAACCTGACGGTTCGCAAGAACGTGTATGAGACATCTGGCAAGGATGAGAGTCGTGTACTTTCATTGGTCCAAAGAGATTGCCAGTGTGCCTCATCTAACATTTTTGTTTGCCTCATCTAACATGTTTTCCCATCCCATTTCCAATTTCATCCATCACTTTGAGGTGCTTCCAAGACTTGTTTCACCCAGTACGGATCCAAGAGCAAGGACCTTTTGAAATTCTTGGCCGAGTTCTATAGCTTGACGAAAAACGAGCAAGACCATTTGGTCTGGGCCTTGGGCCAAAACCAAATTACAGTTCAAACCCAACTTCAGTTCAGTTGAACTCATTTCAATCCAGCTCAAGTGGGAAAATTATGTCTTTCTGAGTTGGGCGCCGCCTTCATCGTTAAAAGCTCCACTGACTGTCACCAATGGAGTGTGGCTGGCTTCGATGTGAAGAGCAGTCTCCTGCTTGCATGAAACATTAAAGATGTTGTTTTTTCACATGGGTGTCTTTTTGTTGGAATGGCATTGGTTTGTTTGCTACAGGAAGGTGCTTGTGCAGCATTTTGGCAATTGGAACTTCGAGATTGAAGAGGTGTGAGTTGTCTAAGCCTGACCTTCGCTTCGGTAAACAGGAACGGACTACATCCACAGAAGGTGATTCCTGCCGAGCTTTCTTTCAATCAATGTATGTCAAAGTAGCTGAGTCCCTCCCCGATGTTTTCGTTCGAAAGGGAAGAGCTAGGAGACGAGTTCGAACGTCCCATGGACACAAAGGGTGGCAGGATGATGGTGGCTCTTCCGATTCTAGTTTCTTTGAGGCCGAAGGAGAAGAGGATGACGAAGCAGATTTGTTTGCCTGGTTGGACAAAGCAACAGATGGGCCTCTCCAGAACATGGTGCTGAACAGCAAGAACCTTGTGAAACGGTTTCTTCCACCAGGAAATGTGTCAGAGCTTTATGACCATTATCAGGTCGTACAGTCAATGCTGGGACTGAACGCAGCTTCGCTTCTTGACTCTGCAATGCTGTGGTTTTGAATTTGAATGTGAGTTTCAGCTCTGCAATGCTGTGGTTTGAATTGGTTTTGAATTTGACTGTGAGTCTGAATATGGGTCCTGAATTTGCTTGGCCACTTTGATGCAAGGTTCAGCACTTTTCTCCGGGTCTATCAGCAGGACTGGAAGGATTGCCTTGGGTTCCGACAGAAAACCATGTACCTTGATTGTTTAGTTCTTTTTCTGGCACCAGTTTTGCAATCTTACTCTGAGTCTGAATGTTCAAACATGCCCATGTCTGGCGCCGAAGGTTCACTGTGTGTGACATTTGCAAACAGTTCAAGTCACAACTTCATGATCCAGCAGTTCCACTGCCTGAGAAATTGGGTTGTGTAAAGGCATACCGTGCCCATCTGAAGTCACAATATAGTGACAGAAGCTTGCTGTGGCAACTTTGTGACCTTGCATACTCCAGAGAAGGGGACATCATGCTCATATGGATCGACGGAATGGAGCAGGCGAAGTTTGCTGTGCCGAGAAGCAGAGGTTTGAAAACAGCATCAGCTACGATACTTGATCAGAGTATGTCATGGTATGTCTCAATTTTGCCTTTAAAAAAACAATTTTGATGCGGTTTCCCTTTTAATCTGATCATTTTGGGGTCAATAAAGGGAACTATTTTGGGGTGAAAAACACATGAAACAGCTCTGTTTGACTGCAACCCCCAGGTCAAATCTCCAAAAACCGCGAATGAAGTTGCATGGAGCTTGGAACTTTGGGTTCAGCCTGGACCTCCACTGCATCGATGAGACCAACAAACATGACTCATCATGCATCATTGAGATTTTGGCCCAGTCCATCCAAAGGGTTTGTCAGCTAAATGCCATCAGCCTTGGGAACAAAGTTGTCTTTGATTTTGCGATTAGTTTGCATTCAGGCTTTTGACAAGTGCGATGAAACCGGAGCCAGTCGGCCACGGCATTTATTTGTCGTGGTGCCTTGATTGCAGCCCAGTTTGAGTGTGTGTCTGTGTGTGCGTTGCTCTCCTCATTGTGCTTAGTAAGCTTTGATTGTGTGTTGCAAGGCCGACAATACCGTCAGAGAGGCGAGGAGTTGGTATGTGATGACCTGGTTCCACGTTCAAGTTTTGTGCGGCAGATTCAGATCGGCGACCCTGAGTATGCCACGGAAATCACACAGCCATGATCGTATAGGCTGGAAGATGATGGAAAGAATGATTTACAGATTACTACAGATTTATTCAGTGCAGTCTTTCCTGACATCAGCTGCTCACATTCTTCACATTCGCTCATGTTTGTCCTGTGCAGATCAGCTTTGGGGAGTGCTGAGTAGACGGCTGGCAAATTGTGATGCCATGCTGACTGATGAGGCTGGGACATTCACAGAGTTGCTGTCATCCGACAATTTACTTTGCATTGATTCCAAAGCTAGTTGGAAATTTATACTTCTCTCATGGCAAGCCAGGACATGAAAAAAAAATTGGAGGATGAATGCAAAAAGCCTGGCCTGAAGAACTGGGTTGGTATTAACACTGACATCCGGGTCATGAAGCTCAACGCTACTTGGTTAAATATGGATGTCAGCTCGAAGTCATTTTGACATGAATTTGCAATGGTGAGAGGTTGCTGCTGATTTTGCTGTTGAAGATTTGTTCCACCTTCTCCAAACAAGGTTTATCGCCCTTGGAGAGATGCCATCTCAAAGGCAGCAGTGGGTCTTTCAGGTGGGCTTCTCGAAGATGCAACTGCGAACCACTTTTTCATGGCCATGCAATTCAGAGGCAGGCTCATTGTGCTCAAAAATTTGAATGCAAGTGATTTTCACAGAAATCTTTCGTCAATACTTCCAGCCCCATGTGTTGGCAGATCTGCCTGGTCCACTCCAGCGAACCGTGGATCGGGGATCCAATCGGACTGAAGGTCGAAACGATGATGTTTGCTGCATCGTCAAGAAGTACATTTGCTCTGAAGAGTTTACCCAGAGACCGCTTTTGGTTTTAACCAAACTCTCTGCTGCTGCTGTTGTTGATTTGCCTCCTGGCAAGCATGATCTTCGCAGTGTGTCAGCAGACGTGAAAGGCGACTGGTTGAAGTTGGCAACAGCAGTGCAAAACTTTTACGGGCCTTCATATGCCCCAGCTGCACAATACTTACGGAGACTTGCTGACGGTTTTTTCCATCACACATCCATGCCATGCCAACTGCCGTGGCTAACTGTTGCTGATGACAGGGTTTTTCCGGAGCCAGTGCTGAATCTGCACAAATGCATTCCTGATGCTTTGGCCCCGTCAGCACAATTACGTGCTGTGTGGGCACGGCGGCGGTGATCTTGGAACAAAGGGAGAGGTGTCAACCGAACCATTCAGTTCACACCCTGTTTATTTTGTTCATATTCAAATTCAATCAAAAGGACAGAAACAACTTGATCTCAATCAGTCAGACTCACAAGATTCAAATTATATTCAACTTCACATTCAAGGGTTTGAGCAGAGCACATGATAGTTTCAAGAATCAGGACATCATTTACACAGACTGTTTAGGGTTTAGGGTTGAAGATGGCTGCTTCAGGCTTCAGGGTCGGCCCTATGTAGCATTCCCCAAACCCTGGATGTACTTTGTCCTATAACCCTAAACCCTAAATCTATATATCATATGTATATTTAAACCTTAATGGGGCCGTAGCTTCCAAATGAACCGCCTAGGGTCCAAAACCTGCATTTTTCAAGGGTTTAGGGTCAATACCCTTGGTTTTAGCTGCTACATCCATCATTCTGGAAGGGTTTAGGATCCAAAACCTGCATTTTTCAAGGGTTTAGGGTCAAAACCCTTGTTTTTAGCTGCTAAATCCATCATTCTGGAAGGGTTTAGGGTCCAAAACCTGCATTTTTCAAGGGTTTAGGTTCAAAACCCTTGGTTTTAGCTGCTAAATCCATCATTCTGGAAGGGTTTAGGGTCCAAAACCTGCATTTTTCGAGGGTCAAAACTTGCAGTTAAAAGTGCCTTCTGGGATCATTGGGAAACAGCCGTTTTGGGCCACATCCTGACTAGGAGCCTTTTGGAGCCAGATTTTGGGACTTTGGTGGCTTGCAAGCCGGCAATTAAAGGTGCCTTCTGGGATCCCTGGGAAACAGCTGTTTTGGGCCAAATCCTGACCAGGAGCCTTTTGGAGCCAGATTTTGGGACTTTGGTGGCTTGCAAGCCGGCAATTAAAGGTGCCTTCCGGGATCCCTGGGAAACAGCCGTTTTGGGCCAAATCCTGGCCAGGAGCCTTTTGGGGCCAGATTTTGGGACTTTGGCGGCTTCCGGGCTGGAAATTAAACGCGCCTTCTGGGATCATTGGGAAACAGCCGTTTTGGGCCAAATCCTGGCCGGGAGCCTTTTTGGGGCTGCCCTGAAGGGTTCGAAGCTTGTGGGAAAAGCTCTGTTGGCTTTGTTGTTTGGGGCTGGAAAAGTTGTGTGAAGCATGCTGCCGGTAAAGGAATGAAGGGGTGTATATCACACAATGGATAGGGTACTTTGGGCGGGTGGGATGTAAACATGTAACCATATACGCAACGCGGCTCTAAAGCCTACAACCCTACTGTACCCTAAACCCTAAACCCTTATAAATTATAACCTCCAAAAATCGATGTACCCCAACTTCAAGATCAAGAATTTCGATGTACCCCAGCCTCAAGATCAAGAATTTCGATGTACCCCAACCTCAAGATCAAGAATTTCGATGTACCCCAACCTCAAGATCAAAAATTTCGATGTACCCCAACCTCAAGATCAAGAATTTCGATGTACCCCAACCTCAAGAACAAAAATTTCGATGTACCCCAACCTCAAGATCAAAAATTTCGATGTACCCCAACCTCAAGATCAAGAATTTCGATGTACCCCAACCTCAAGATCAAAAATTTCGATATACCCCAACCTCAAGATCAAGAATTTCGATGTACCCCAACCTCAAAATCAAAAATTTCGATGTACCCCAACCTCAAGATCAAGAATTTCGATGTACCCCAACCTCAAGATCAAAAATTTCGATGTACCCTATGTTGAAAATCAGAAATTTCGATGTAGCCGCTGGGAAGGGCTACATTGACTTTTGACATTTCGATGTAGCCGCTGGGCATCGGTACATTGATTTTGCAGGGATCAAGGATCTGGATTCTGAGCCACTGAGCTTCCCCAAAAGACATCATAAGGAAAATATTTTTTGGATGTCAACTCAAACGGGCCTGGACAGGGTACATTGATTTTATTTTTTTTCGTTTTGAGATCAATGTATCCCTGGGGCAGGGCTACATTGAGAACTCCACAGCGTAGGGTTTGGGAATTGATATCAAATCTTAATGTCCGTTTTCATTTCAATCTCCAAGTCATCCGTCAGGGAAAGGTCAATGTATCCCTGGGGATGGGTTACATTGACTTCAAAACCAAATTTTGAAAAAATATCAATGTAGCCCATTCAGGATCATTTGAATCGTATGATTTTTTATGTGACCACTTGTGGTTGGTGTCTCACCCAATTTTGTGCCTGCCAGACGGATTCAATTCGGCTCAGTTCCTTTTGGCGCCTGAAGCCATGGCTTTGCAGCCGTGGATCCAAAAGGTGAAAAAGAATGAGAAGGAGGAGACAAAAGGGCCGCCCCAGAAGATGCTTTGCACTCCATACGAGAAGCAGCTGAAGAAGATGCCAGGTGATCTTACTATGCTCAAGGACATTTTAGTTTGATGAAGTATAATATATTTTTCAATTAACTTGGCCACCCCCCAAAAGGCCCCCGCAAGTCCATCAAGGATGTGTTTTTGGCCTCATTTTTGAGATTCCTCATGGACGGGCGGAGCCACTCCAAAGTGCTTCGCGTTTTTGTTGTTGAGTTTGCTGAATGGGTTCCCTTGCAAAAGCAACTTAAAACATACACATGTTTTAGATAGTTTGGTTAGTGTTGCATTTGATGTCAGGACGTGCTCCATTCGATGCGGCTGCTGAAAGCTGACACTGCAGTGTTTGAGGGTGAGTTGCATCCAGGTGATGCTGTGTGCACGGCCTTGTCTGGAAGCAATCATGAGGTTTCAGTGGCCAACGCAATGGCGTTGCAATCCTGGTTCCAAGAATATGCTCAGATGCGTGCTTCAAAGGGTCGTCAAGTTGCCTTCAAAGAAATCAGCAGTTTTGCAACTGTGATCATATTCAGAATCTTTGATGTATGTGATATTGTTGTTCACTTTTTTCAAGGTAGAGCATTGACAGACTCCCAGACTCCAAGTCCAGCGACAACAGCTTAAGGCCATTGATGCGGAGATGGATGGCGATGTGGTCAAGATTCCCATAATCGCTCTGGTGTGCCTTGCTTGCATGGCTCAAGTAGTAAATTGCTGTTGTTGGGAAAACAAATTAACACTGAATGCTCTTAAATATTGGCAGTCATTCAAGTTTGCCCAGCAGGGCTAATTTTTTTGGTGCTCCAAACAAGTTTTCTATGAGCAAAACCAAGTGGAAAGTTGCCAGCTGGCAGTTAAGGCAGAGCCTTCCGACCGATGGGCTGCCGGTCCTTGAAGACTGGCTGACAGTCTGGGAACAGATGGTGTTTGCTGGAGTCGACTTGGCTCGTGAACCTGTGGATGTATCAGATCCAATCTTAGAGCAGCTTCAAATGAGCGTGTTCAATGTACTTAGATTTCAAATCAAAACTCATTTTGTGACAAGGTCCAAGTCCAAGTGACCCCAGGACTGAATGCTGCTTCAAGCCGTCACTTGCCAGTATGTTGGCTCATGCTTGTTGACTCAACATTTACTCCGAATGTCTTGGCAAATACCTGTCAGAGGACAGAAAATGGAAGTCAAACCCTTGAGCATCGACATTGTGAAGGGCTTTACGAAGATCCAGTGCGTTCTGTTCACTATGTTGCTGGCCAGTGATTTGGACCCTGCAACCCCTGAGGGACAGCAGCAGCTCGAACCATTTTTCGCTGCCCTGGACAAGTCTTGGCTTGTTCCAGTTCGTGCAGCTTGGCTCAAATGATTGTTTTGTTTGAAGCACTTGGCTAAAGTTCTGCAGTGGCATGTCCTGTCAATGTGTTTTTTTTGGCACATGGAATTTTATAGTGACATGTGCTGTCAATGTCAATGCCAAGGTTCGCTTGAACCTCGACGCTTTGGAAACAGGATTCATCAATATGATGTTATCCTTCGGGGGGGGAGCGGCAGCCCCCCAACATGCTGCAGATGGCGCTTCGCTTTTCGAGTGCCATGGATGCCCGATCAGTGCAGGGTGTGCACAGCAAAGACTTGTCAGTGGAGGATCGGTTGAGGAAGGTGATCAAAGAATTTCACCAAACAGATGGGATGCTGAGCAAGTGGCACTTGGATGCGGACCGCATCATGGCGGTGCTTGGTCTCATCACAGGGACAAGCGGAACAAGCAGGGACCTGATAGCTAACCATCTTCACCGGTTCAAATGGAGCCAGTCGGCTCTCAACTCGGAGCTTTTGAAGAAGCCGAGATGGTTGTTGACTGCGAACCCGCGAGGTTGCGCAAGCCACTTCAAGGTCATGCTGACCGTGACTGAGACTTCGCAGAAGATGTTTTTGACTTTGGTGTTTCACCAATTTCATTGCAGAACCAGAAAGTCACGTCCCAGTCAGAAAGCAAAGCACAGACTTTCACCTGCAGAGTGGGATGCCTGGGTGAACTTTTCCTGCGTGTATGCCACTGTGATCAAAGAAGCAGCGCTCCTGGCCACCAAGCCGGACATGGAGATGATCCACAAAGCTTTTCTCGACATGTTCCTTGGTTGCAATATAGCCTTGACTCTTTGAAACGATAAGTTTTCCAACAGCTTACTGCCAAGCCTTGCTTTTTGAACCAGAAAAAGAAATGCTTGGGGCACCCATAGACAACCCCTTTTTGAGACACCACCATATTTAATCACAATGGATCAAGTTCGTCCTTTAATTTCTGTAATCAAAGGTGACTACCCTTACCTTTCAGAATCAATCAAACTCAATGGATTCAGACAGTATCATATTCATTTCAATCATTGAAGATTAAACTCAATGGATTCAGACATATCCGTTTCAATCATGTACATGGTTATACCGACACCGTGCATATTGAATCAACCAGACTCAGACTCTTCTTATAAAATCACTAGGTTGATTCCATTTCACATTCCAGGGATTACTTTGATGAGATCGAAGCGATTCTCAAAGTGGAGCCGGCCGGATGGACGGTAAAAAGATTGTGCTTGTGGAGTGACTTGGTTGAGAAGCCATCCGTTGCGGCAGCTTTGAAAGAAGTGGATGAGAAGACCGTGGAAGACCGAGAGGAAGAGCTTGAGAATGCGAATTTCGCTGCCCTCAAGGCCAAGATCGCGACCCTCAACCAATTTGTTTGTTTTTAGTTAGTTAGTAGCTGCTGATTGTGGCAAAGTCATTCTAATAGGTGCTTTTCTTTGGATGGTTTGTTGTGGAACTACAAAGTTTGGTGCAGCTCTCCGACAAAATAACATATTTTTCTGAGGACAGATGAGCATGCCTGGTGCAAATACCTGACAGCCAAGTCCAAGAGAGCTTCGCTGACACATGTGGTCGAGGTTCAGCACACAAAGGAGCAGAACGCCAAAGGGTTGGAGCTTCTCGGTTTGGGCATTGATTGTGAAGAGCTAGCTGTGGTGATTCTTATTGATTGTGATTGAGACACAGGTAGGTAGTTTTCATTTCTTCAAGCTGAGCCTGATGAATGTGAATAGGTGATTGTGATGGGTCTGTGACGATTTTGAATCTCAGCAAGTGATAGTCAAATTTGTTCCTCATCCCTTTCAAAGGCTGGTGGGCAAGTTCTGTGACGAACGGTGCCACGTTTCCTTGGTCACTGACTTGAACATGATGCCGTCGACAGAGAAGATCATCAGGCAAGTTTGTGCTGATTGGCAGGCTGGAAACTGACTTTGTAAGGATTCTCACTTCTTCAAAAGTTTTGTCAACAACTCCTATCAATCACTGTCTCTAAACAGGTTGCCAGTGATGACATCCACTTCATCGCCTATGTTGATTTCACAAAGCTCGGTACTTTGAACCAACAAGACATCAATCAACATGCGAGTTGGCTGCAGGGCGTGTTGAACAAAAACCCCTTGCGTTCTTTGGTCGCGTCAAATTTGAAGCCTTTCACAAGTGTCCTTTTTTTAGCAGTTTCGGCCTTGGGGAATGTTCTCACATGCCCTTTGTCAAATAATGTTAGTCATGATTCCGTGACCGAGGCTCCATTGGAGTTGTGATTTGTCCGCTCCTGGCTGGTACAGCTGCAGGAAGCAGTTTGCGTGCAGACCAGAGGACAGGGGTTTGAGGAATATTTTAGAAACTCTAAAACAATTGTTTGTGTGGCTAACTGGTTTCAAAATGTTCACCAAACATGTTGGCTTTGCTGGCCCCTCTCAGGCGCATTGAGGACAAGTTGGCCCAATTCCAATTGGAACTACGGCATTTCCACCTTGCCATCAATTTGTCCAACCTTCATGGGAATGCAGAACGGCCGGCTTGTTACAGCTCCCTGTTAGTGGTGTGTGACAGCACACTCCCAGCCAAAGGTGTGATGTACCGGCTCCCTCGAAGCGGCCACAACAGCAACAGCACAGATTCACCTCCGAAACCAGCCAAGAGTGACATCAATGTGTAGCTTGTCAAGGATTGTTTGTCTTCCTGCTGGCAATGTTGCTTTGTGGGCATGTGTGTGGATGTTTGAAAATACGGTAGCAGCTAAGGTTTGTCTCTTCCCATGCCTGGCGGTGCCAGACATTTGCGGAGCCACTGCCAAATCCAATCCCAGAGAGTGAATACGTTGCATCAGCTACGGTGAAGGGTCAGAGTTTGACGAGCAACGACCAGCGCAAGAACTGGACGGATTACCAAGAAACGGCTCAGTGGCTTTCTGGGGTGGAAATCCCTTTGCGTGTGTTGGAGACCTTGGGAGTTGGAGGCAGCAGTCTGGACCTTAAACTCAAACTCAAGAGTTTTTACCGCATTTGATTTCAAGTCAGATTCAGTTATTTTACTTCTTGCAGTTTTTACTGCTTCACATTCAGCGTTAGGTCCTGTGCATTCACAATCTTCACATTCAGTGTTAAGGTAACACTTTACATATGGGCAGGCAGGCAGAATCATCTGCAGTCACAAACAGCATTGAGGTGACACTTCTTCATATTCACATGTGGACTGTGGACAGGCAAAATCATCTGCAAAATCAGAATCACAATCACTTGGACATGTGGGCAGGCAAAATCATCAATCAGAATCACAATCACTTTGACATTGATTTTGTGTTTTGAAGAAATTGAGGTGGAAAGAAATGCATCATCTACCACTCAACGGCGTATGACGGAGCCCTTGAGTAAGCTGCTGTGCGGCTTGGCTGTCCAGTGATTGGGGCCACAACGGACTTGGGCTGCCACAAGCTCAGCTCCAAGCTGCTGCGAATGCATCTGCTCGATGAGTGGAAGGCTGGCAGGCCCTCATGGAAGAATGGCCCGAAGTTTGTGCCAGTGGGCGAAGCTGGTGATGTGGTGCCTCCTGATGTGACGCCACCTGAGCTCCTGGTCCTCTTGCAGGTTGAAGGCAAGCTGGTGATTCCTCAAGAGATCCGACAGAAGTTTTTGGGTGATCCCATTCGCAGTGTGGAATGGAAGGCTATCCTCAAAAAGTTTGACAAGATCCACGGACCCAATGGAAGCACTCCTGCTGCAGTGGCCCCTGTGACTCCATCTGGTGGATCGGCAGTCAACCCTGCGGGGACTCCGGGAGGTGCTGCTGGAGATGAAGATGTGTGGAAAAACATCTTTCCAGACGAGCCCAAGACGTTGGAAGAGTTGATCAGCAAGTATGAACCCAGCAGCACTTTCAGTGCACCGGGTGGCTCCCTGGTTGTGAAGGTGGTGGAAGGCCCAAAGTTTTTCTTAGCGGCGCCAGTTGCTGGAGCTCTTGATGACCAAACCCCGGTTATCACACATGGAGCTGGAACTTGGCTTTTGGACTCCAAAGCTGAGAAGATGTTGAAGGACTGTTTGCTGCTCGCTGATGCATCATTAGATGTTGTATATTTTTTGAAGACTTATAAACCATATATATATATACTTCATATATTTTGTTTGTCATCCAACACCATGTGATGCCCCCACATGTCCCCTCTGCAACAGTTCTTTACAGTTCCATACGTCCAACACCATGTGATTTTCTACCCACATGTCCCCCAAAAAACCAAAGTGTCTAGACACCTGGCTTTTGTTGCAGGATTCGCCGGACAAAGTGCACATTGTGAAGTTCGAGGATGATCTTGCTGAGTGCGTTCTGGAGGCCCCACATGATTTTGATTCTGATTATGGAAACGTCTGAGTCTGAAACAATGCAAATTGTTTTTTGATTGTGTTAGTGGAGACTGTGATTCTGAACAAATTTGTTTTGATTGTGATTTTGGACACTCCTGATTCAAAGACAATGTGTTCTTTGACTATGATCTTGGATTGTTTCTGAAACAAACCTGTCTTTGATGTGTGCTGAATCTCAAACATCCTTTGTTCTTGGATTGTGCCTATTTGATTGTGACCATGACATTGATTCTGCAACAAGAATTTTACTGATTGTGATTCCGTCATTGATTCTGAAACCTGTGTTGCCCTTCGCTTTGGGTAATGAAATTCAAGTTGAAACATCTTGGTAATTGTGAAATTGATTTTGAAACATGAACATGTCTTTTGACTGGGTGATTTTGTCTTGCCGCATTTGAGAGTTTGAGGCACTTCATTCTGAAACAAACTGATTATGGGAAACATCCAACTGCCTCTGAAACCACTTGTTCTTCATGACCATCTGCCGAGCTGATTCTGAGAGTGGAACTGATTCTGTTACCATTTGATTTTGAATTTGATTCAACCAGATTGAATTGCCAGGAAGAGGATGGATCCGACTCTTGTGTGAAGACTTTGAGATCATGCCTCCAAGCAGTCGAGCAGTCTGGCATGGTGGACTTTGAAATCGGAGGCCATGAGTTTGAACGCCCGGCTGAAGTATTTGCAGGTGAAGCTGATGACAAGCTACTTGACGCAAGCAAGGAAAAATGTCATTCTGACACTTTTGTTGTTTTGTTTCACACTGCTGATCAACCCCAGGTTCAACATTCAGCCAAAGGAAAGCAGTCCAATGTGCTGGAAAGCCAATGCAGTGCAGTTGAGATCCCTGAAGCATACCAATGCTGCAAGCTTCGTGTCGCCCCAGAGTTTGAGAGATTCACCTGCTTTGCGAATCGCATCTTGGCACATATCAGCCCCACAGTTTTTGCCAGTGAGTTGAATTGCAATTTTGCATTGTGGTCTGTGGTCATAAAATCATGTCTGAGGTGTGGCGCTTGAGAATGTACAAGGCAGAGGGCATGATCGCACCGGCCAAGCTTTTGTGGCTGCTTCGCCATGGACTTTCTCTGGACAAGGGAGCTTGCCAGCGAATTGTGTAGAAGTGCATCTGTGGGGTTCAGCTGGTTGAGAAAACTTCACTGACATGCATGTCAAAACTGATATGTCTTCAAGTGTGGCAATTTTGTTTCTTAGCCCTGCAGAAGGCCAGACTTTTGAGTTAGTTTGCAGCTGACAAGGGCCGCTGACTGTGAACAGTCTTTTCGCGGAAGCTCATCTTGAGAGCATACCCGAGTTTTTCTCACAATCAACTTCACAAACCTCAGTTCAATGCTGAACGTTGAGCAAAATCAACACAGCGGAGTCCTGTGACTCGTAGCTGTCTCAAAGTCTCGATCTCACAGTTGTGTTTTTGAGTCCGTTGAACTGCAAATTCAAGATTTCATTCAAAGCTGGCTTCAGAGCTGGCATCCATATTCATGTTTGTCAGTGGATTCATGTTTGTCAGTGGTCATAGTGTTTGGCTCAGTGTTGTTGCTCCACTTGCAATTGGGAGCTGATGGCTGCTGGTGCTACCACAGTCCTAGACTCTGATGATGATGTTGAAGTTGCAGCCAGCCAGAACAAGACTGGATTGGTGAGCATTGGTCATGGCTTGTCGCATGGATCAAGGCCATTGAATGTTTCCTTAGCGAAGCCTGTTGAGCCTGTTCCTGACTCTCAATGCCCCGAAGAATCGCAGTTGATGCCGGATTCCCCACCGCAAGCTGCCTCTTGGGCAGAGTTTGCTGACCGTGTCCTCGATCCGCCCTCTCCAAGACGTCCTGCACTGAAGCGAAGCAATCAGTTTGAGGGTACGCCTGAGGGAATGGAAACTTCTCACACAGGAGATTTGCAGTCTGTGGATGATGGGAAGGAGGACAGGCCAACTGGATATGACTCAGATTCGACTATTGCACTTGGTGATGAGCAAAGAGCAACCCAGGTTACTGGCAGGTCAGATGGACGAGATGCAGTTGAAAAGGGTGCCACTGACAAGGGTGAAGATGTGACAGATGACAAGAGTCATCATGATGTTGAAGATGTGCCGGATGACAAGAGTCATCATGATGTTGAAGATGTGCCGGATGACAAGAGTCATCATGATGTTGAAGATGTGCCGGATGAAAGTGAGAATGAAAAGGGTGATGAAGATGAGAAGCCTGACAAAGCTTCTGATGCTGACACGATGGACTTACTGAAGGACCCAAAGTTCAAGAAAGGCACCAAAATGAAGGATTTGAGCCCCAACAGTCAGGAGATGTTGAAGAAAGTTCGCAAAGCTCGGAATGTTCAGAATTCGACCGCTTGGCACAACAAGTATGCCTCAAAGGGTGTGCCCAAATCTTCGGGCGCTGCTGGAGCTGATGGAGCTGATGGACCTGCAGGTTCAAGCTCAGTTGGAGAGCCAGCTCATGCAGAGGCCACTCACCCGTACCAGCCGCTCACCCTCAAGGATGCCCGGGCCACTTGGTTGCAGTACCCTTTTTGAAATGCAACAAGTTGCATGTTTTCATTGTGAATTACTTTTTGTATGGTGAATTTCCTCCAGGAAAAGTTCATGAAAGACTTCCTGAAGGAGAATAAGGAGGGGACCGTTCAAGAGAAGTTCAAGGCAGGCAACAAAGCCTGGATGGAGAGTGATATCAGGGCTCGTATCATGGCAGCCAAAGCGGGCATCGGATCTGTAGCCCCTTGAGTCTGAGCGAACACTTGTGCGGAGAGAGGAAAAAAAAGACTGTTTCAAGCTGTGCTCTGTTTTAATTCTTCTGGTTTCAAGTCTATTCGACTGTTTCCGCATGTCAGGACATAAACTTCATCAGGCCGTTCGGTGTGACTGTGGCTGAGTTGATTCATTTGTTGTGTTGTGAACTTTTCAAACCATTAATTTCTAGTTATTTGGGAGAACCTTTGTGAACATAGCCTGCAATTGGTCTTTGATTTGAGGCTTGGTTAGCTGTTTGATCCTTGCAAGTGGTTTGTGCCAGCACCCAGGATCCTCTTCTGGAGCCAGTGTCCAAACCTCATCCAGAATCTCGAATCTGCTGTCAAAGTCAAGGGCTATATTATATCAGATTCAAACCAGATCAGGTCCCATCACAATCAGTATCAATCCCAATTCACTTTCAAACACCAGAATCAAATAAAATCATATCACAATCAAGGGAATTTTGGGCCACAATCAATGCAAAATCATTTGAAACATGTTCAAAACCACAGCCAATTCCATCTTGAGAAATGAATGCTTTCCTGCCAGCCCACACCGCCCAGGGTATTGGTCAGGTGCTGCGCCCAAGACTCAATGAATTTGACTTTGACTTGGATCAGTGTGATTTTAGATTTTTGAGTCACTAAAACTTGCTTGCCTGTTTTTGTTTCACTCAGGTGGGTCCAAACGAGAAAGCCGCGGTCAAGGTTGGAAAGTTTTGGCCAACTGGCAACCGAAAGATGAAGTTCTTTTGGTCTTTTTGTGGTCCATAAATTAAAAGAGAGGAAACTCTTTGTAGGATCTCGTGGGCGAACCGTTTTGCTACTTTACCCGATGTTTGTGCAGACAAAAATATTTCGGAAGCATGTTTGTTGAAGTTGGTCTGATCCATTGACTGCAGCCATCTTGATCTGACCGGAGGCTCTTTTCAGCAAGCTTGCCCATTCAGCTCTGTCCCTGACTCAAAGACCTAAGATTCTTTTTGGCAAACTTGCTGAGCTCAAGTGGCAAGCAGTTTGATGATCAATGCACCTAGATGCCACTTGTACGAACCAATGAGGTGATGACTTTTGGTCAATTTTGTCAAACGACCCAGTGCTCTGTGGTGTCAGATTGCATTTGTTGCTCTTGGTTTCAAGTTGGCTTCAGACTGATATCACTGTAAACTGTAGTCGTCAAAGCTTCAACAGCATTCAAAGTCAATCAAAGCCATTTTGGCTTCAAATTAGTTGGTGCTTCTCAATCCCGATGTCTGGATCACCGGATAGCTCCTCGGACTTTCTGATTCCAGAGGAGCGTAGTTTTCTGCTTCCAGAGGAGCCATTGCCACCTCCAGAGGAGGGTTGTTTTCCAGAGGAGCCATTGCCAGAGGAGCGTTTTCTGCTTCCAGAGGAGCCATTGCCAGAGGAGCGTTTTCTGCTTCCAGAGGAGCCATTGCCACCTCCAGTGCAGCCAGTGGAAAACTTGCCACCTCCAGTGCAGCCAGTGGAAAACTTGCCACCTCGAGTGCAGCCAGTGGAAAACTTGCCACCTCCACCAGTGCAGCCAGTGGAAAACTTGCCATTGACAAACTTGCCACCTCTAGATTCAGAGTGGCCGGACATTCCCGATTCAGATTGTGATGCAGAAACCCGTGACAGCCTTGTGGTACACTGCTCTGATTCGGACGTCTTTGAGCGCTTGACCTGGGTCCATCATCAAGGTGATTGGAGGTGATGAGCAAACATGTTGAAGAGATCGCAATGAACCTGGATTTGCATGAGACTATGGATTGGTTGGAATATTGAAGTTTCAATTCAGGCCATACGTCAGGCCATTTCATTCCAGGCCATACGTCAAGCCATTTCATTCCAGGCCCTAAGTCAGGCCATATCAACAAAGATGTGTCACCGCCACGCAGTAAAAACTCTTTGCTCTTTGCAGCACTTGGCTTGCAATGATGTCAGCTTGCAGTGGTGTCATCAGCAGTTTCTGACGCATGACTCAAAAACGTATTTGTGTTTGCGCTTGCTAAGGTGTGGCAAACTTTGATTGGCCCTGGCCAGCAATGATTCTGACCACAGACTGTGAAAGTCTGACTTGTGGTTTTGATATGTTGTGATTCAAACTCATTGTGTTTCTGATATGTGTGGATTCAAAACCATTGTTTTGATTCAAAGTTTCAAACCCAAACTCAATGTTTTGGATGTTGACTGAGTGCTGATTCTAATGATCTGAGTCTGATTTTGCTGAGTCTGATGTTGAATGAGCTAAGTCAAACCCAAGCTCAATGAAGTTATATATATATATATGTTTATTTTTTACTGCAATGTTCGGATAAAAAACCTATATTAATTATAAGTCTGGGGGGGTGGGACTGTAGAGGTCTAGTTTGGGTTTGGCTTTTGATTGTGCATTGATTTTGACATTGTTATGATTTTGACATGTTGGTTGTGCATTGATTTTGACATTGTTATGATTTTGATATGTTGATTGTGCATTGATTTTGACATTTGACATTGTTATGATTTTGACATGTTGATTGTGCATTGATTTTGACATTGATTTTGACATTGCTTCTTTGATTGTGAAATTCTGAAGCGGATAGGCTGACAGGAACAAATCTTATGATAGATTTGTTGTGAAAAGTTGTAAATTTCAAAACTGCAAAATGCAACTGAAGTTTTTTCTAAAACAAAAAAGGCTCCTTAATTGAACCCAGCTGTGTAGCCTTTCACCAACAGAGTATTGTGCCTGCCACCAACATGAGCCAAGTCACGTTCCTGCCAAGTACTGTGCCTGCCACCAACTTGAGCGAAGTCCTGTTGCTGCCAAGTAGCAGTGCCCTGCCACCAACATGAGCCAAGTCATGTTCCTGCCAAGTACTGTGCCTGCCACCAACTTGAGCCAAGTCCTGTTGCTGCCAAGTAGCAGTGCCCTGCCACCAACTTGAGAAGTTCTGTTCCTGCCAAGTACTGTTCCTGCCATCAACTTGAGCCAAGCCCTGTTGCTGCCAAGTAGCAGTGCCCTGCCACCAACTTGAGAAGTTCTGTTCCTGCCAAGTACTGTTCCTGCCATCAACTTGAGCCAAGCCCTGTTGCTGCCAAGTAGCAGTGCCCTGCCACCAACTTGAGAAGTTCTGTTCCTGCCAAGTACTGTTCCTGCCATCAACTTGAGCCAAGCCCTGTTGCTGCCAAGTAGCAGTGCCCTGCCACCAACTTGAGAAGTTCTGTTCCTGCCAAGTACTGTTCCTGCCATCAACTTGAGCCAAGCCCTGTTGCTGCCAAGTAGCAGTGCCCTGCCACCAACTTGAGAAGTTCTGTTCCTGCCAAGTACTGTTCCTGCCAGCAGCCTCAATGTAGTGAATTTTGCAACCCAGATGCCATGAATAGCAACCCAGATGCCATGAATGTTACATTATAATAGTTGGCCAAAGCATGGTCTAAGGCCGCGTTCTTCTGGTCCTCCACCATCATCCACCACAACTGATTGACAGTTGTCAATCCTGGCGCATCATCAAGAGCCACAGCTGCCATGGTGTCACAGTGACGAGTGAGGCCTTGAATTGTCACAAGTGACTAAATTGAAATTGACACAATTGACACAGATGACGTTGCAGCCCTTGAGCCACCGGACAGCCGTGAATCTTGATTCATTCCAATTCAACAAATTCATTCAGACCAATCTGAGAGGCCGAATGCTTGAAATCGAGTCAAGACGAACCCTGCTGACATCACTTGACTTCAGTCCCCGATCCTGCCTTCGCTATCCTGACCTTCGAAGCAGGTGTGGCACCTGTCATTGTCTGAGATGATTCTATCATCAAATAATAAATGTCAATGTTCTCATAACCAAATTCACTGGGTCAATGTCTCACTTGATTATATTGGCAAGTGACAGCCAATCATCCCCCCACAGACAGTAATTAATTTGTCTGAGGACCAGACTCAGTCATCAAGAAGAAGACGGAGGAAGCCAATGCAAAACTCTTGCAGACACAACAGCGCAAAATTTGAAATTGACGAAAATGAAATTGACAGAATTGAATTGACTGACAATGAAACTTGCAAATTGGATTTGAACAGATCCAGTAATCGATCAGAACTAAGAAAAAACAACACGTTTCTTCGAAATATCAAAAAGGGATCACAAGCACTGAGGCACAAACAAAATAAAGCACACATTTTAAACAACAAATTATATTCAAAATGATATTTGGTGTGTCTGGATGTTTTGAAGCAGATTCCTATTGTTAATCAATACTTTTACGGTTGACCACAAATGCAAATTGTTTACACAAACTGTCTTGACATGGCCCACACCGCTAATTTATTACAAAGTCACCGCCAAAACCTTGGCATCTCCAAACGTCAGTGCATTTACCTTATCGCACAAGTAGATTTTTTACTATATAAACTGATTCGGTCTTAATGCGTGCTACATGGTCAGTGCAACGAAGAAAAACGCCAAGCAACAGAAGATGTTGCTGATCTAGTGTGTGCACAGACACGTATGGCACTCGAAACAAAATCTGCTCAAAAAAGCCATTTCGAGACAACCAGGGTCACCTTGAAAACCCCTACGATCTAGAACCCCTACGATCTAGACCTAGTTTGAAAGTTAGTGACAATTCAACCAGTAGTTTCTGATTCCGACGAAAATAGTTTCTGAATACCACGAATAGTTTCTGAATCCGACGAAAATAGTTTCTGAACCCGACGAAAATAGTTTCTGAATACCACGAGTAGTTTCTGAATCCGACGAAAACAGTTTCTGAATTCCACGAGTAGTTTCTGAATACCACGGGTATTTTCTGAATCCCACGAAATAGTTTCTGAATCCGAGGAAATCCGGCGAAATAGTTTCTGAATCCGACGTGCAATTTCTGAATCCTACGAGCAGTTTCTGAATCCCTAGTTTCTGAATCCGGCGGAGTTTCTGAATCCGTCTTTGTCCGTGCTGGCACGTCCCAGGACAAGGCAAAGAGAAAGTGTTGGACAGCCCGCGAGATAGTTAAGAAAGTTAAAAACACCAAGAGCGTGTTGGAAGTTCCAATAGACAGCTGAGAGCGTAGCATCAAGAGCTTGCCGGACTGGCCCAGGAGAAAGCTAATAGATGCTCAGAGCGTAGCAGCAAAAGCGTGTCGGAAAACCCAAGAGTAAGCCAAGAGCGTGGCACCAAGAGCTTGTTCGAACTTCCAAGAGAAAATTAGCATGGCATTCAAGAGGCGACTGTCTCCAGAGCGTAGCGTCAAGGGGGTGCTTACATGCCTCAGGTGAAGGCCAAGAGCGTAGCATCAAAAGAATTTCCAAAATCTCAAAGAGCAAGCCCGGAGGCTATAGCATCCAGAGCATTTCGTTGGTTACTCTTCCCTTTCGTTTTGTCTTCCCTTCTGTTCTCTACGTCGCTCCTTTCGTTTTACTTCCTCCCCATTGTTTCATCTTATTCGTTCACCTCTTCCTCTCATTTAAAGGCGTTCATTTCGTTAGGTCCCTCTTTTCGCTCAAATCTTCTGTCCTGTTCTTCCTGCTCTTCCTTTCCTGTCAACTCGTCCATTTCATTGCGTCCATCTTTTTACACACAGACGCTTGCACACACACGGACGCTTTCACACACAAACGCCTTTACACACAAACGCTTTTACACACAGACACTTTTGCACACAAAAGCTTTTACACACAGACGCGTTTTTTTATACACACTAACACTTTTACACACAGACGCTTTTACACAGAGACGCTTTTACACACAGACGCGTTTACACACAGACGCTTTTACACACAGACACTTTTACACACAGACGCTTTTACACACAAACACTTTGACACACAGACACTTTTGCACACAAAAGCTTTACACACAGACGCTTTTACAAACTAACACTTTTACACACAGACGCTTTTACACACAGACGCTTTTACACACAGACGCTTTTACACACAGACGCGTTTACACAGAGACGCTTTTACACACAGGACATCGCAATTTGCTATATGTAGTTTTGGGCAATTGAACCTCATCTCATGCGAAAGGGTCGCGATTAGACAAGAGAAATTACAATTTCACTTCAGTTTTTGACGATCGAACCTCGTTTCGTGCAAAAGGGTTGCGCGGAGCAACTTGAAATCGCAATTTTACCTCAGTTTTTGACGATCGAACCTCATTTCGTGCAAAAGGGTTGCGCGGAGCAACTTGAAATCGCAATTTTACCTCAGTTTTTGGCGATCGAACCTCATTTCGTGGGAGCAACTTGAAATCGCAATTTTACCTCAGTTTTTGACGATCGAACCTCATTTCGTGCGAAAGGGTTGCGCGGAGCAACTTGAAATCGCAATTTTACCTCAGATTTTGACGATCGAACCTCATTTCGTGCGAAAGGGTGCGCGGGACACCTTGCAAATCGCAATTTTACCTCTCAGTTTTTGACGATCGAACCTCATTTCGTGCGAAAGGGTGCGCGGGACACCTTGCAAATCGCAATTTTACCTCGCAGTTTTTAGCGATCGAACCTCATTTCGTGCGAAAGGGTTGCGTTTCGTGCCGTCTCGTTGGCCCCTGCCTCCGCCTTCAGAAGAGAAATAGAAAAGAAGGAGAGGGCAAGAGGGCAAGAGGGCAGGAGGGCAAGAGGAGAAGATGTGAAGATGTGAGGATGTGAAGATGTGAAGGTGTGAGGATGAGAAGATGTGAAGATGAGCAGATGTAAAGATGTGAAGATGTGAAGATGAGCAGCTGTGAAGATGAGAAGATGTGAAGATGAGAAGATGTGGAGATGAGAAGATGTGAAGATCAGAAGATGTGAAGGTGTGAAGATGAGAAGATGTGAAGATGTGAAGATGAGAAGATGTGAAGTGAGAAGATGTGAAGATGAGAAGATGTGAAGATGAGAAGATGTGAAGATGAGAAGGTGTGAAGATGAGAAGATGTGAAGATGAGAGGATGTGAAGATGAGAAGATGTGAAGATGAGATACAGACCCCCACTATTGGAAGAACCCTGCGCTCAAACGCTCTCGGGAAAAACAAACAATAGCCCTCCATAATTATATATCTATCTATATACATATATATATGTGTGTGTGTTTTTATTTTTATTTTATATATATATATATATATGTTCAATTTAAAAAAGGCAGGCAGGGTTGTTTAAAGGGCTCATCCTATGAATTCTATGACTGAAGCACTTGAACACTGAGGTAATGGCGGGATTTTGTGCAGTCTAACTTATAGCTTCAGGGTCTTGAATGTTTGGTTGTGGAGTGCAGAGTTTCCCTCCGCATGCTGCCAAGAAAAGAAAAAGACATCCCTGCAATTCAACTGCTGGCATGCGCGTGGATCCTCTCAATGTGAAACCATTTCGTTGTGTGATAATCAGGAGCTCCAAGTCTGCTTTTTTCTGGCTGCATTTGGAGTCTTTGGCCGAGGCTTCCTTTTATGCAGAGTTGAAACAGCTGTGCAGGATACTGGCACACATGGGGCTCCACAGAATTCGGAGCATGCCATAGGTGCTGACCCTGCAGTGGTGAAGTCACTGTATCCTGAGTGAGCTGCGATCTGCAGGGACATGAGGACAGCATGGTTCACCCATGGAATCAGATCATCACTGCAACCTTGCCACGAATTGGCCAATCCTGGCATGGCTGCGGCGTGTCCTGAGGACCCTAGCCTGGGCATGCCAAGCAAGTCAAACCCTGTCAAATTACCGAACCGCGCTCCAGCTTCACTTCAACAACCACTTCCTTGCCAGGGAGCTACAGACGTTGAGTCGTCTGCATCAGCGAGCCGCAAACATCATTGGAGGCGCCGGTGTTGGATACCTGTAGGGCTGAAACTCAGCCAGCACTTGAAGTTTGATCGCTCAACCATTGGCACAGCAGTTGACCTTTGCAAATTCATGTTGCGACATGTGCTTTTGCAACGAAGTGGCGAGTAAGGATCGTATTGAGCATGATCCTCAGTATCACATTGGTTCCGGAAAACTAATCTTAAGCATTCTTAAGCCATTTTTGACTCACAGGGAATCCTATGCCAACACTTTGACAAACTCTAAGGCATGGACATAGAGTGGCTGTTGCAACCCACGTGGATCCTATCAGTGTCGTAAGAAGCCGTAAGAATTCCCACCAGGCTGAAATACTGAGCCCTGCCAAAGGTGTGTCAACAGGCACTGACTGACTGTAGATGGCAAGTCCTGCCAAGATTGGCTTTGAGGGACGCTTGTCATCCCCATGCACTGCATGGGCACAAAGTCAGGTGCCCTGCGTGCAGGGCGCACTGATGCACACTGCATCCTTGAAGAATTTCTCATTGGAAAAACACACGCATAAGACAGAAAGACAGACACACACACACTAGACAAGAGCTGGATCATTGTAGTGATCCGACAGGAACTGAGTAACTGAGTCCTGTAACGTGCAAACCAGCCTAGGCCATTAGACTTACAGTAGATCCCCTTGTAGTACTTCTCGAAAACGATGTAGAGCATCCAATGTTGTCAAACGGAGTCCAAATCAGATTCCCAAAGTTTGAATACAGTAAAAGCATCAGGTTGAAAATACAAAAATAATGGCAACGATGAAGTAGGTTTCGGCGATGGTTTTCCAGAATAATCAAAGAATAGATCGGCGACATGGTTTCGGCGAAATAATCGAAAAATATAATCGGCGACATGGTTTCGGCGAAAACACAGATTGTGGCAACCGTGAAGTGAAAATGCAGCTGTGCGGTTCTAGGCTTGGCCGCTTGCCATGTCGATCAAAATTGCAACAAAAAATGCAGGTACGTCCAGCTGGCCAAGCTGGATATCCCATTTCACTGGTAGCTTCGTTGGACACAGTCCCAGTGAAATGCTGTGTCCCCCTGCAGAAGTAAAATACGGTGAGTTGATCCATGAAAACCACGAAAAGATAGAAGTTTTACATCGATTCAGATGTGTCACACACACACACCCTGCCAAGGCAGGGTTTCTTTTTGGAAGAATCAAACGGTGCACAGCTATGGTACATGAGGCGGGTTGAACCGTCTCAATCGTGGCGCTACAGGACTTCAGCTGGCATTCTCAGAAGACGGGCGTGATGACTGCTTCAGAACTTGGATCGCATCAGAGAAGTTCAGGCGTTCGACCATTCGCCACTGATCACCAAGTTCCCCAGATGCCGTAGCTGCCGACAATGATTCAGATAATTGCGTAGCCAATGACGCGATGGTCGGCAACAGTGCCTGGTCACCAGAAGGCGAAGCATTCTCCATGAAACTGTTCTGGAAAGGGTTGTTGCTAATGATATAAGGGAAGGCCAAAATGATAGCGCCAATAATCAGCTGTTTGTTTTGACCACTCCCATTGTCCAGGGAGGCCATAAAAGAAATGTTCCGGATCTCGAGTTCTTGAAATTCCAGTGGTCGGGATCTCTTCAATGAATAACTCCCGTTCGTTGTTGGAGTGGGTAAAGATCTTGAAGTGAATCTGATGAACAACCCGTTCGGTGTAGCGTCCTTGCCGGTGGGGAGCTGGATGAGGATGTTCAGGTTCGGGAAAAGGGGCGGCAGGATGAGGATCAGAGGTGTACATTCCAGAAGGCGTCAAAGCTTCATTTCCGGTAGTGGAAGAAGTCAAAGTTCCTGAGGGAGGCGTTGTCGTATGTGGCGTCGGATTCGAAGAGGAAGCCATAGTGTTCGAACCGTCAGGTATTGACGGGTTCTGGGAACTTCGCGAAGGATTCTTAGGCCATGTCAAACCCGCGTTAGCTGCGTCACGCTTGTGCTCCATGGGACCGGCTGCAAACTCAAATGAATGTGAAGACAGAGGAAAAGCTATCGGATAAATAAAGCAAGGAATAAGAAGTCCACATGTACGAAACCATAAATAAATGTCCATGAGAAGCAAAGGTGACAACGTAGCAAATTGAGAACTGCAAGGAATTCCATCCGCATCAAAAGTGAAAATTCGAGATTCAGCACGGCTTTTCTCACGTTGAAATGAAAGAGTCGATGAACATGGATCTATGGGAGAATGAAGCCCTGTCGTACTTTGTGACAGGTCAATCGAAGAATGAAGGGTTGTTGAGAACCCGTGACTACTAAGGAGGATTCCATATAATTATATTGTCGAATTCGCCAATCAGGTCGGTACTCGTCCAAGAGCTGCAAAATAGTCCAATCTTCACGAACTTGAAAAACATCTCCGGTGAGGTCAGCGTAACGAAACTCCAGGTCCGAGGCGATCATTTGAATGTCCCATTGGGTGCGAAGTCGGGTCGTCAGCTGTGGTCGTAATTGACCGAATTGTATTGCGTTGGCTTCGTCAGGAGGGAACAAACGGGCCCGCCAAGAAAATCGGGATTTTTCGTCCGATTTCAGTGTGCGAAGTTTCTGTTTCTCATCGTTGGTCCAGGTAGGTAATGGGCTAGGTGAACACGAAGGTGATCGTGTAGAGTTTCGTCGGCGTTTGACTGGTGCTTTCGGAGTTGCCTTGGCCTTTCGTTTCTTCGCAGGAGTGGCGACCGTCGTAGAGAGCCTCGGAGGATCTGGAATAGCATCTGGAGACGGAGCGTCAACATGTTGATGAGGTTGTGGAAGGTTATACTTCACCAAGTCGGCCATGTGGTTGTCTTCATCCTCAGTGTTTGGTGAGGGGAAAGGAGCTCCATCAATGAAGGCATTGGTCGCGTCGGAATACTCTGGTTGGAGACCGTCGGGCCGGGTTGGTTCCACACACCATGCTCGGCAATGGGGTTGGCTCAATATCCGGTATCATAGTTGGAGATAGCCCGATGTAGAAGAAGATAAGCATGATGAACATCATGGAGGAACTGTTGGAAAACAGGTTCATGGAGCGGGATCGTAGTCAAAGAAGTCGCGGAAGCCATGGCGTAGCATCGATCGTCCCAGTGCCAAATACTAGCGGATATAGGATAAAACAATCGGAAAGAGGTCATATGACAGGAGTGTGAGTTCAAAAAAGATTCTGAGTTGCTCAGTCAGGCATTGAGTTAGAAGGTTCTGAGGGCATTCAATCAATAGCAGGTCAAAAACTTCAATAAGCGAAGCTGAAGTTTTCACCAAAGCGAGGCGACATGGAGATAACGCCGGATCGGTTTGGATGCTGACACCAGGTCAGAGTCCGAAAATCCTGCAGCTTTGTACAGACGGTGCAGCGCAGCAAAACCTCGATTCCGTTCGGACGTAGGGTGCGCGCATTTGGCGACCAAGAACAATCTAGACACAAAGCCTGAAAGTTGAACATCCAGCCGAGATGCCGAAAATGGTGCCATGACCTGGTTAAAGTCACGCGGAGGACTATAACGCAGGGCAAAAGGTTCGAACTCAATACAAAAACCCAGGAATTCTTGGTCTGGTTCCGTCTCGAGGATGATACGGTTGCCGTAGAACTCCGGATGGAGGAAGTTGACGAACGAAATCTCATAGCTCCAGGATGGGTCTGCCAAGCATAGTCTGTTGTCAACGTACCGAAGTAGGCGAGCTGACAGGTCCATTGAGGCCAACGTGGTATGGTACGTTTGGTACCAAATTTCTTCAGACAAAGCCACGACCATCATACATAGTGCAGGACTGAGGGGGGAACCCATGGGTGAGCCGCGAATCTGTTCATAGACGGAGGTGCCGATGGAGAACTGGGTCATCTTCAAGGACATGAGGATGATGCGTTCGATGTCACGGATAAAGATTTTGCGAGTCACATTGAGGGTTCTGCAGGTGCGTCCTTTCACAACGTCGCCCGTCATGTTGCCAGTAGTGGCCTTGACCGAGATGATCTCATCAGGCTCTGTGCTCATGGTAGAGGACAAATACTTCAAGGTGAGTCTCCAACTATCCAAAAATTGTCTGTCTGTGTCAATGCTGGTGAAGAAGCCTGCGAGGTCCTGGTTGTAGATTTGGGGAGTAGGTAAGGTGTCGAAATCGGTGTTCTTGAGGAGCTTCATGAGGTCGAAGACGTCCCCCTTAGCAAGGTTGTGAGGGAATGCTTGTGGTAGAAGGTGGTAGATGAGCTTGGCGATGCAATTCAGCATAGGCCGAAAAGGTGCAGTGAAGAAGCTCACGATGGGCCTGCCCGAAAGGAACTGTTTCTTGCGTTTCGGAAGGACGTAGGCATTGGGAAGATCACGTCCAGCACCAGGGCCCATGGGTAGGTCTTGCCAAACTGTTTGTTGATCTCGGCGATGGTGTTCTCTATGATGTGGTTGGGGCTATCGTCCAGTTTGCGGAAAAGCATCGGATCGGCAAAGGTTTTGGTGAGGCATTGGTAATAGACCAACGGGCAAAAGATTCGGAGGGAGGTAGCTCGCTTGTCCTCATTGTGGAAAATGGCCTTGGGAAAGAGTCGTTTGAATCGTATGATGTCTGTGTGGGTGATGTGGTTCCGGAGAGAGGTCTGGTGAGATTGAATGGACCGTGTCCAAAGATCTTCTAGTTCGGAACGCCGCAGAGATGGAAGAGAATTTCGTGTTGTCCACGTAGTCAAAGCCGTGCGCAGGGACTTGTAGATTTCCTTGGGTGGCGGGAAGATCTTGTTCTGTAGAGAGACTGTAGCGATCGATGTGAGGGGCATTTCGGTGAAGTGAAGCGCATCTCCGTCGACGACGAGGTGTTGGTCTGCCGGGTGAGGTTGGTGTGAATGTTGTCGTAGTGCAGGACAGGCACAAATTTGTAGTTCATCATCAGCCCAGCGTGTTGCTGCTTCTTTGTGGTTGCAGAGGCTGTCCATGACAGAGGAAATTTGGTAAAGACGATTCCTGTAGACGGGGTTTGAAGTGTGGTATTGTACTGCTATTGGTCGAATGGACGTGGGAAGTGAGAAGTTTGCGTAGATCTCGTGTCCAATTCGGAGCAAGAAGCCACGGTGCTCGAAGAGGAGTAGGCTTGCGGACCCGTTTGGCTTTCCAAAACTTCAAGGCCCTGTCGATAGCATTGACAGCAAAAGATCGTTGGGGTTCTCCAAGGTTGTTGGCAAGACGTCGAATGAAGTAGCATCCCTGCCCTGTGAACCAATTTCGTTCGAACGGAGTCTTTTTTCCATGTGAAATCGTTTGATAGAGTTGCTGCCCAAATCCTGAAAGATTTCCCAAAGTTGCACACGGCGACAGAATATGGGACTGTGAAGAGCTCGTCGAACTTGTTGAGGTGTTGACTTCCATCGGAGTTTGCGCCATAATGAAAAGGTTCCAAACTGACGGGAACTGGAAAACTTGGTTCGAGTAATAAGTCCTTTCCGGCAATTGAAAAATTGATAAATGAACGGAGT